TACTAATTAGCTAATTAGCTCTTAAGCTTCTGACTCTAGCCACGCACGTTATGGTGTACGGGCCGGGCTGATTGATCGGGCTTCCTCCGGTTGTTGTAGAAGTACCACGCACCGCCTATGGCGGCCAGCCCGGCTGCAGCCATCAGGTAGGGGTTGTAGGGCATGTTCCGCCGCCGTAAGCCGCCGGCGCCAGTGGGATTGTGGGTGTCAGCCATATCTTCAAAAGGAGCTGAAAGGTTTTTTTTTATGATTTGGATGAACAATTGCTATCTATTTAATAAGACATGTAATTAATTGTTATTTTCTTTTAATGTTGCATGGGAGGCATACGTGTCAATTTCGAAGATTGATTGCTACACACGTGTTTAGAAGGGTAAATTAAGAATTTGACGAAAGCGGTGCACTATCCCCTTTTTTCTTATTGATGAAACTAGACATTGCCGAAATCCGGGTTGGGCTTCATGACTCCTAAATCGATACGGATCGGACGTCGGGTCCAACCCGAGCTTGGGCCCGTCCACATAAAAAATGAATATAAAATAATTATCAAAAAGCAAGTGTTTTCCCGTGCGGGATTGGATCTGGCCCGGCTCGCGGGCCAAGGTTGACGGAAACAAGACCCTAGACCAGCCCGTTTGAAATTCGAGCTGGGCCCAGGCCCGTGCTCAATGGATTTTTTTTTTGTTCGTGTGGAACTGTCTGTACCGACTTAAGTGGTTAACTCGGGTATGATCGAAGCTCGGTGTTAGTACTTGACCCCGTCACGAATCTCGCTTCGGCAGCTAAGGGTACGGGCGGCCAGACTAAATGATTGAAGGGTCGAGCTCCCCGAGGAGCTCGAGCAAGTGGGGGAGTGTTACGACCTCAGAGGTCAAGCGGTAGAGGTCGTGGATTCGACCTGGCAAGCATCCCATGCAGTAAGCTCACGAGGTCGCTAGGACAATCTGAGGACATAGGAACCGTATAGTAAGTTGGAATAAAACCCTAATATGAATGAAAAATATATCTCACTAAAAAGTCTAAGATATTAAAGACGTGTTAAACTATGAAATGAGATATGATTAGATCTATTTTCTAGTAAGGACTCTACTTAAACAACAAAACACTCTATGTTTATACGGGGTTGTGCCCCAAAATATTTAAGTTATCATATTTTACTTTAACAGACATATTTTACTTTAACAGACACATTATTATTCGTGAACGAAATTCTAACTTGAGCATTGAAAGTTGTGTTTTGCAAGTCACCGTAGCTCAAGAACTTGAGCACTGAAAGTTGTGTTTTGCAAGTCACCGTAGCTCAAGGCGAATGACCATTCTGTAGTGTTAACAACTTAACCCAATTCGAAGACAATTTGCACATCACTTTTTGACTCACATGTTATAGACTGAAGAGAATTTGTGTTTTGACCATTGGACTCACATAAAAGAGGATACAATTTTCTTCTCTTTTTCAGTTTCAATTGAGGGATTACTGCTGCTGACTTTTGATTTTTTTTTTTTAAACTGATGCTAAATTTATATAAGTTTGTTTCCAGTAATACCAATTTCAATCAAAATATCAACTGACAAACAAAGAAAAACAAACAAGCTTAATTCATGGTACAATGAGAACTTCATGAATTAGACCAAAAAAAAAAA